CACTAACCAGTGAAATAATATTTAGGTTTGCTGAGTGCTGCTGGAGCGTGTGCTTGGTAAATATTTGGAGTGCTCGGCCCTCCCGCTTGGAACCGCCCGCTGGGGTGGGCCCTGCTCCAAGCATCTGCTCTCGGCTTCCGCCAGTGCCCTGCCGAGGCCCTCACCTACAAGTCCCGGTGGGAAGCTGTCGCGCCTGGCTCCCGCTGACTGCCCCTCGGTCCTGGGGCGAAGCAGCGTGGTCCTGGCACGGCTGCTTCTGTAAGGACGGAAGCCTCCAGCCCTAGTGCCTCCCGAGGCCACAGAGCTGGCTCTGCAAAGGGGCCACACAAAGGGTAGACCGGAAGGGGGTTGGCCCCTGCCTAGGAGCTTGGGGACACTTCCAAGTGAGACTCAGAAGAGGGTGCTGGCCAGGCCGTGCGTGCGGGCGGCCCAGGAGGCAGGTAGGAGCACAGACGGCCCCTGTGCCAGGCTGCGGGAAGCCAGGCCTCAGCCTCCAGCCCCGCTGGAGGAGCTGTGACCCAGTGCGCAGAGCCTGGCTCCTTTACAGCGGAGAGGGCAGGTGCCAGGCACAGCTAAGGGCCTCCGCCCCCCCGCACGGGAGCCTTCCGCAAGCACCCCAAGTCCATCCGCTCTGCTCGCCTCGGCTCTGTGCTGGTTCCTGACTGGCCCCCAGCCCTCCTCACACCCTTCGACCTGGCTGCGAGCGGCAGTCGGCCTCCCCCTAAGCCTAAGCCAGAACTTGCCGCTGTCCTGCCTGATACTCGGCCAGGCCCCATAGGGCTCCTGATGACAGGCACCCCCCGCCCCGCCCTCGCCCTCACTCAGCAGGGTTCCAGCCACAGGCCCTCCCTGAGGCCCTCCGATGCCCACGGTCTCAGCCTCTGCACGAGCGGGTGCCCCTCGACCTCGGTTCTGACCCAGATGCCAGATCCCCGGAGGAACCTCCCTGAGACCACCCCCCCGAACCTAACGTGGCCTTTTGTCTCTCTCTCTCGTGGGTTTTGCTCTTTCCTGTTGGGATGATACGGGTCCTCAGGGTGCCAAGAAAGGGTCCCCAGAGGTGACACAGGGGCACAGCAAACACGACCCCTGGTGGACACCTCCACCTTCATCCGAGGGTCCCCGACTCAGACCCACACCCCCAGCAGGCCTGCGGGAGGGGCCCATCTGCTCGACCGCCTGTGACGGACCCAGGACCCCGCCTGGCTCAAGGAGAAGCCAGTAAGACACAGTGAACAGACACGAGGCGTCCAGGGACAGCACGTGTGCTCACGTGGCAGCCCAGCAACCAGAGCGGAAGTGCCGACCGCAGGACGCCCACACCAGGGCCCCGTGAACTGGACAGGGAGGACGCTGGTGGCGGGGGAGGGGTCCCAGTGGGAATTCATAATCAGCCCGAGTGTGAGCGGCCGGCACTGCTGCAGCTCAAGGCCACCGGCACCTGAGGGACATCTGCACTGTGCACGGCGGGCGTGTGGCCCCCACGCTTCAGCCTCATACGAGGGCTCCTGAGGGCTCCAGGGCACTCCGCGTCCCCAGCTGCCACGCCCCGCACACACATCACACCTGCTGTGGGTAGCAGGGGCACTCGGGCGACCAGAGGTCCACAGCTGTGACAGGTGACCAGCCCGGGATCCCCAGCCTCCATGGGACTGCCAGCTGGCCACATGCTAAGGCTGGCTGGGCTCTGAGCCCACCGCTCACAAATGCCACGCACCAGGCTCTGTCGAAGCGGAGACACTGCCATGGTAAATAAAGCCACCACAGCCTGCCCGCAGCAGGCATCAGGTGGCTCCCTGAGAGCACGTCAGGTGTGTGAACTGACCCGCTTGTGTGAGCCTGGGAGCTGCTCCCTGTGGGACGCTGGGCCCTTGGAAGGTGGGTGTGTTAGTGCATGGGGCCGCTGGGCCCCTTTTCCAGGACTGGAACCCAGTGACGGCAGGCCTGCCTGGGCCCTAGGTGGCGCAGAAACCTCCGCCCTCCTATGGGCCTGCAGGGACCTGTGGCCTCCTCCCTAGGACCCCTCGGAGCCACCTGGCCCCAGGAGCACCGGGCCTGGCGCACAGCAGGTGCTCAGCTGAGGCTCCGTGGACGATTGATCTCGCAATGACTCTCCAGGCAGACCCGGCCACTCAGCCCTCTGCAGGGGTGACGGCACCCCTCTCCCAAGGCAGAGGTGCACGCAGTGCCAGCTCTGCGTACCCCTCATGAGGACCAGGCCTGGGCGAATTCCCAAAGAGCCAGGGAGCTTTGCAGCTCACGGGTCTGCTTCACAGCGGGACACAGAGGGCTTCGCACCATCGCGGCCTTGCTCCTGGGAGCCAAGGCCAAGGTGCTCTAGGCAAGGGGCTTTCCCGTTTGCTCCTTGAAACCCCAACACCCACATGCACCCCAGTCGCCTCCGTGGATCTCGTCCCCAGCTGAAGGTCATGGCAGCCCCAGCCGCCTCCCCTCCCACAGGCTTCAGTGTGTCAGCCCCCCCAGCATCCTTAACAGGAAACCACATTTTCCTCACCGCAGCCGCCCCCGGACCCCCCACCTCATGTCGCTAACCCGTGGAAGGTTGACATGCAGCCAGGTTCCACCACGTGGCCGCAGTTAGCCAGGCCGGACCCGGGCCGGATGCGAACACCCGGGCCGGATGTGCACGTGCAGATCCCTTCCCAACACCCGAGCAGAGGGCTGCACCTGCTTCTGAGTGTGCAGAGACACGCTCCCAATCTCGGGGGGTTTCAGAGATGTTACAAGGACATCCCAGGAGTCATGTCCTTGTAACTCGGGCCTCTGCACCTTAACCCTTCAGGCTGGCCCCACTCCCCAGCCCTCCCCGGGCTCTGGCGCTCTGCGGGGCTGAGGCACGCTCCTTCCTGCCCCCCAGACTCCCGAAGCCCAATGCTCCTCACTCCCCAAAGCCCTCTCCCCGGCAAGTGTGGAAATACGACCGCCCCGTTCCAGTAAAGCCACGAGAAGACTTCCCGCCTTTTCTAAATGCCTCCTTTGCTGGTAGTACAAAGACAACTAAATAAATAAAACCAGCCAGTATCTGTGACCGTTTCTCTCCCGGCCCACACGACTCGCTCTGCGCCCGAAATACAGGGTAGAGCCCATGGCGGTGGATGTTACAGGCCTGCTCCCTCCCGGCGGTGACACAATTAGGTCAGCTGCAGCGCGTGGAGCACAGCCATCGCTTCGCACAGGACGGAGGCGCTACCAATCCCCGCCATCAATTCCTCCTCTCAGAGAAAAGAAACAGAAGCCAAT